TCTTTTGTTTCTCACCGTGACGTGTATAAGTATTGGTAACAAAAGGTTGAGGCCCTATGAATCCACCAAGCTGCTGATCATCATCATCATTACAAAAACCGCAGATTTTACGCGAGTTCCACGCTTGCAAATAAAGATATCCCATGCCACTATCTAGTTGCACATTTTCGCTCGTCAGATCAATGCCTGGATCTTTGTAAGTTGTGTCAAAAAATGTCTTTATCAAATGTCTTGATGACTTCACCCTTTGAAGACATTTTAATCGCTTCATCATCAATCACTGACTGACATGCAAAAGAACATCGTGGGTGCTCATGATAGCTTGGAAATTGATGAGCGTAGCACCTAGTATAAGTTGAAATTTTATAATTCAGTTAATCCATTGTCTCTGATTTTGCTTGAAAACAACTTAAAGCTTGGAAAACACCTTACCATACACATAATTCGAAGCTTTTATAATCATTTCCTTCTGATGGCGTTTCGCAATAAGTGCAATAATATCTAAAAAAAATTATGATGCAAAAAAAATCAATTTATCTTTGTTTTTTAAGTGAATATATATATGCTGTGCTTGAAGTTATAACTTTATGAGCCTGAAATTGCACCTGATTAAAAGTAATCCTCTGAAATTAGATATTACACGCATTAATTGTAATTTAATATTGCTTCAGGTGCAACACCAGGCAGATGCTAACTTCAGATACGTACATATATATATATATTTCTTTTTTGTTTTTTAATAAAAGAATAATTGATAAATTTGTTTGCTATGATATACTATACCTAAATTGTTTTATAATTACGTTACATTGATTGCAATATATACACCATTTTTGCTTCGCTATTAATGTTAAGAATATTAGTCTCGGCTTAATTGCGTTTTTGCAATACAAAGGTTTGATTAAATAATTACCTGTCATATCTGAAGGTAGAGTGTTAAGATCTATAAATTCCAAAGAGTCATCAACAACCTCTAATTTACTCTTCTTTTTACGGTCGTCTTTTTTGTTCTTTAACAGGCTTTGCTTGTCTTTATTATCTTGACCAATTACACACGTTTCATTAGTCTTTACGGGTTTCATGCGC